ACATTAGGTAGATACATTCCTTGGAGAGATCAATTATGGGAGAATAGAAGGGCTGTGTATACACAGGGAGACAGCTTGGGGGGCAGGAATGCATAGGAGGGAAGGACATAGGGAAGAGGTAGCTATGGGGAGGAAGTGGGAGGAGAGCTATTGCACTGTGGTAAATTGTAGTCAATGTCATGAGACAATGTATGTGAACTGCTGTATGAAAGATGAATTTGCTCTATAAACTTCCACCCAAATCACATTTTTAAAAAAAAATTGTTAAAGGGGAATCTAATTTGCTATGTAAACTTTCAACTAAAATACATTAAAATGTTATTTTAAAAAAAAAGAAAAAAAATCTTTGGTTTGTGAGACTCTATAAAAGATTACACTCTCTCTTCCTTATATATTCTCTGACTACCTTCTCATTTACCTTCCCCAATGCATCCTCCTCTATTTGCCCTTTAAAAGCTGGAGGTCCTCTTTTTCCTCACTGTACACCATTATCGTATCTACAATCATGATTCTAACGACTATTTGCCACTGCCTTCCATATTTATATCTCTAGCCCAGTTCTATCCTCTTAACTCCAGACTCATACATCCAACTGCCTACTTAGCATGTACACATGAATGTTTCAAAGGCATCTCAAATTCAGTATGACCAAATCTTAACTCATAATCTGCTTCCACCAAACCTGGTCTTCTTCCAATATTCCTTAGTTCTCTCAGTTCCTGGTACCTTTATATATCCAGTTACTTTATCCAAGCTAGAAACCCAGAAGTCATCTTTGATACCTCCTTGCTTCTTATAACCTAAATTCAAACCATCACCAAGTCCTGATGATTTTACTTCTTAAAACTTTATTACATCTCTCCACTGGTGGCATAGTGGATAAGGCACTTGGCTGCTAATCAAAAGGTCAGTGGTTCAAACCCACCAGCCACTCCATGGAAGGAAGACAGGGTGATCTACTTCCATAAAGATTTATAGCCTCGGAAACCCAATGGCAGTCGCCATGAGTCGGAATCAACTCAATGGCAGTGAGTTTGGTTTTTTTTGGTACTTCTACCACATTCCTGGTCCAAAGTATCAGCACCTCTTACCCGACATACTGCAAGATCCTTTTCATTAGTCTTCCCACATATATTCTTGCCTCTTCAATAAGCAGTACTTACTGCAGCCAGAATGAAATTGTTACAACACAAATCTAATTATATCACTGCACACCAGAAACCTTCAACAACAGTCTAGTGCTCTTAGGATAAAAATCTTTAAAGGTTCTCTATGATGCGATCTCTCCCAAACCATAACCCACTGTCATCAAGTCAATTCTGACTCATAGTGACCCTACAGAGCAGAACTGCTTCACAGGGTTTCTAAGGCTGTAAATCTTTATGAAAACAGACTGCCTCATTTTCTCCCATGGAGCACCTGGTAGGTTCAAACTGCCGACCTTTTAGTTAACAGCCAAATGCTTTAACCATTGCACCACCAGAGCACCTTCCTAACTCTCCAGCCTCATCTCATTCTCCCCCAATCCCTCTAACCTTCTTGCAGTTCCTGAAGCTCTCCACATCCCCTTCTACTTTCAACGTGTGGCCCTCTTCTACCTGGAATGCTCTCTCTACCAAGTTCCCACCCCCTTCACACAGTTCACTTCTACTCATCCTCCGGATATTATATGTCAACTCCTGAGGAAGATTTTTCTTGAAACCCTAGAGTAGGTAAGGTACTTATTACTGATTTTACAGTATTTACCACTATTCATTTTATATATAGGCAGTCCCCACGTTACAAACAAGGTCCATTCCTAACCGTGCCTTTATGAATGTGTAGGTGAGTCAGAACAGGGGTATGCAGTTCTTATTTAGCTTTACTTCAGTGCAAGGAAAGGCTGAAGCCTTTTCAATGATTTAATAGCTGCATATGCAGCAAGTGAAGGTGACTGTGATGCCGAATTTCTTCCAAGTATCATTTCAATGTGAGGGCAGATTTACGTAACATCAAAGCAGGGCTTCAGTGATGGCAGCACTCCAGTGGTGGCTAACCACACAGCTTTGTATGTAAGTGGCTCTCCAAGTCCTGCCAATAATCCAATTTCACACATCACATAAAAGGGCTCACTATGCTTCTTCTGAGTCTCTCATTCCAGTGCTTCAACCAGTAATTTTTCCTGTTCCAGTTACCATGATGAATCACTCAAAGTGTAAAAATTTTGATCTGTTCCTGTTTCACTTCATTGGCTCAAAGTTCGCATTAACAGGGCAAGTAGGATTTGTCCGTAAGTTGGATGCTCATAACCTGGGGACCACCTATACTTACGCATTAGATTATTTATCAGTGTTTCTCTTCCATATGCTCCATAAGAGCATAAAAGTATCCATTTGCTCATTGCATCTTAGCCCAGAGAGTACTAAAAATCAAAAACCCTGCTATCAAGTCAATTCCAGCTCATAGCAACCTTATAGAACAGAGCAGAACTGCCCTATTGGCTTTCCAAAACTGTAAATCTTTATGGAAGTAGACTGTCACATCTTTTTCCTGCAGAGTGACTGGTAGGTTCAAACCACTGACCTTCTGGTTCACAGCTGAGCGCTTTAACCATTGTGCCACGAGGGCCCCCTTCATAGAGTACAAAACCAAATCCAATTTCATGGCCATTGAGTCAATTCCAACTCATAGCAACCCCCATTGGGTTTCCAAAGTTATAAATCTTTATGGAAGCAGACTGTCCCAGCCTTCTTCCACCGAGCAAATGGTGGGTTTGAATCAATGACCTTTTAGTTAGCAGCCAAATGCCTTAATCACTACACTACCAGAGCTCCTTTCCACAGAGTACAATGGGTGACATACAGCAGGTGCTCAATAAATAGTTGATGAATGAATGGAGTATTCTAAGCAGCTACACTTCAGACAACTAGGAAGTACATGGTCACTAAGAGTAAATAAAGTCCAGGCTTCATAATTTTTCAGGTAAAACATCATAAAAGATGGAAAGTGCATAGGTTATAGAGGTAGGCAGACCTGAAATCTCAGCTCAGCTGCTTTCTAGATGTATGACGCTATGAAGCTCATCCCTCTCAATCCATTTCCTTATGCATAAAATGAAGAGGGAAAAACTCACTTTATTGGTTTGTTGCTAGCTAGTACTAAACGGGATAAAGAACATGAATCACCTGATATAGTACCATACACAGTAGGAACTTGGTATATATGGATTCTCTTTCCTCTTCTCTCCCTAATTACCTTTACAGAGAGAGACACTGTTGGTTTTAATGTACTTTGCTTGACTTGTGATCTATCAAATTTACTGAAAGTTGCAAAAGATCTGAAACATTTAGTAAAACTCCATTGCATTTACCCAAATTTACCATTCTTTCTTAATTCCCCCAAAATTCTACACAATAAAGGAGAATAGCTAGCTAAGATTTTCCTTTAGGAAAATTAATATAATCTAGATTTAGAGAAGATGAATTTGGGTAACAAACAAGTTTTTACTTTAAAATGTATTCAACCTAAGTGGTACTGAACAACAAACTTACAATGGTACTTAAAACACAATTCTAATTACACAGAGGTTTCCAGGATTATATCTACCTGGCATGTCACAGCAGGTCTGCACTAAATACAGCTTACAACATTAGGAGAATACTCTTACCTTATGTTCAAATGGAGCACCATAGTAGCCATCATTCAGCCCGAAAATTATTTCATTTGGGTTGCGAGCATGAATCTAAGAGAGGGGAAAAGCACACTATTAGTTCCTCTCTCTCAATAAGATTTTAGTATTAGAACATGACAGTTAAAGTAGGATCGACTTCACTGCTGAGAAACAGGCTGACTACACCTAAACAACAGAAAACACATCACTTAGCATAAGATCAGATGATCAACTAAGAGTTTCCTGCTTTAGTCAAAGTCCTCACCAAGCTATCAAATGAGCTCACCAGCACCTTCACACACATTTTCCACAAATACTTCTTGAGCTTATTATGGAAGAAAGGCTATTCTATCCCTGCATCAAAACTGGCTTTTTGGTGGATTCCCGGAAGTAGAGGAGATTCAGAAGCATACTATCCTTTCCCTGATCTCAAAGAAAACAAGATGCAGTCAGTCTGTAAGGGTGCTTCAAAAAGTAGTAGTTTCTCCAGAAAAACAGAGAAAAATAAAAGACAATAAAATAATAAATAAAAGATTAATATATTTTCATTTTCAAAGAGTTTTAAACATAACATTCAATTCCTAAAGTCTCAAATGTGGATTTAATTACTGTCTGCATACCACTCTCTTTCTGATGCAGCTCATTTAAGATTCAATCAGTACCATCCCAAATTAAACTTCACCTAACACATGGGGAGGTTCAAAGGGAGGGAAGGTTTCTTCCTTCTAGCCAAAGGCAGCAGTAGTAAAGTCCTATAAACATTCACCTGAAATTCATTTCCTACATCTACTACTAAAGCAAAATTAATTGCATGGGCCCTACTGACCTATATCATTTATTGAACTTAATACAATAATACCAAAAGATAAATGCAAGAATAAATTTATAATGAAAACAATAAAGTAATCTCAAGACATTTTTTATTTTATAAGAGAAAGTATCATGAAATCAGTTTCAAGATTAGGAGGAACCTAAAATTTGATACATATGAAATCTGTTATTCATATATATTCCTAGGGGAAAAGAAGATTAAAATTATATGCCTAAAATGTTAACAATGGGAGATGAGCAATAAGATTATGTATAATTTATTTTCTTCTCTGCATTTTTCAAAATTTTCCAAATTGCCCACAAAGAACGTATATTACTTTTAAATCAGAAAAAAATACAGAAAAAAAGATGGATAGGAACAAATGGGTAGAAATGAATCTAGCGTGAAAGTAAAGTTCTCATAGTATAAGCTTCATGAAGATGTGCATTAGTTTGTTGGAAAACTCAGGTAACATGGTTCTAGTACTGGAAAAGATACTGGGCTTAAAGATCAAGAATGCTGGACTTTAAAACTCCAGCCTTAACTGTTTCATAATGAATTCTTCAACAAAAGGAATCTTGTCTTGTTTATAGGTCTAGTGCCCAGCACTCTACATATATTTAGTAGTTAATCCCTGTTAATGGCCCCATGTTTTAATTCCCTCATCAATCAAAAGCAGAAAACACATCCTGGTGTATATTACAGGGGTGTCATAAAGATGAAATGAGGTAACTGGATGTGAAAGTATTTTTGGAAGCTAGAATGAAAAACTAGGGGGGGAAAAAAAATAAATACTAATAATGTATCAGAAGCCAGACAACATATAGTTCCGAAACATCCCTTTGCTCCTCACTAATAAAGAAAAGCATACTTAACAAAACAGGGTCATCATATTCCACACTACTATGCATTTCAGAATTGGTAAATTACGCTAACACAAGTGTGGATATGTACTATCCTTCACTTATGATAGATTACTGATTCAACAATAATTGTGTTGTAACCCAATATGGAAACTACAGAATACAGAACTTTATCAATCCAACTACAAGCTTCTATTTTGATCACCTCATAAAAAATTATAAAATTTTTAAGACAGCTGGTTAGAATTAGTGAAATGAGTAATAAATATAGTCTGAGCCATGGGACAATTAATAGTTTGAATCCACCAATCACTGTGTGACCTTAAGCAAGCTTATCACTTAATTTCTCCAAACTTTACTTTTCTTACTTAAATACTGAGGAAATTAACAATACTTGCTCCTATGTCTCAGCTCACTGTGTACGTATAAAAGATTCTGTGAATATAAAAAGATACCCAAACACTATAACAATATATTTTGCTATTGTTATTAACTCAAAGTTCTAACCACTTAAATTATGCACAAGAATTTATCCTGACATTAGAAAAGAGAGAGATTGGTAAGTTCTGGTAAGCAACACTGTCCAGAAAACAGAGAGACTAGTACCTAAAGATACCTACATTTGTGGAATAAATAACACCAATTCTACACCAAATCTCTCCAAAATATAAAAGGGGTAAACACAACCCATTTTATGAGACCAGCAGGTTAAAATTTTGTTAAGGAACGTATCTATTACATGCATAGTACTATCCACTATAAACCAAACCAAGCGCACTGCCAACAAGTAGATTCCAATTCACAGCAACCCCCATTGGGTTTCCAAGGCTGTAAATCTTTATGGAAGTAGATTGCCTCATCTTCCTCCCGCGGAGCAGCTGATGGATTTGAACTGCTGATCTTCTGGTTAGCAGCCAAATGCCTTACCTACCTTACCTACTATTCACTATATTGTTGTTAGGTGCTGTCGAGTCACCTCTGACTCATAGCCACCCTATGTACAACAGAACAAAACATGACCCAGTCATGTGCCATCACTATTCACAATAAAAGGACAGAAAACAAATAAAACGTGGTAAACAAAATGAAAACAGATTTTTTTTTTATTTTTATTTTTTAAAAAAGCAGAATTAAATTGTTTCTTCAAAAAGAAATATATCAGAAAGTATATATTGGTTACTGAGAAAACATCAAGGATATTTGTAGATAATCAATGGCTAACATTTTAGGGTTACTTTAACAGTAGTGTCCTAGGGATCACAGGAGAAATGACATTCAATTCCAAGGAAGGACCAAACATATATACATATACCAGTTTGCCCCAGAACAAAGAGAATAAATTTTTAAGTCAGCCAACTATGGATTTAGATTCTTGCTCCATCTAGCTGTGTGACATTGAGCAGTTTCTTGAAACTCTCAGTTATTCCCATCTGGAAAATGAAGATAATAATTTATCAACCTTCACAATGCTGCTATAAACATATATAAACCTATGTCTGGGATGGCAAATAGGTTTCATTTCATGTACATTTTGGGTAAATTGTTAGCTGCTTCCTAGAACACCATGTTAGGAAGGATAATGGTGCTATTTCTGAGCTCAGTAGTGTGATCAATTAACTACATTTGTCATAGGTACAGGGTTGCTGGGAGGCACTAACAGTCTGTGATCAGCTATAACCCTACAAGTTCCAGCAGCACTACAGAAGGAAGACCTGGCCATCTTCTTTGGTCAAGTACAGCCAAGAAAACCCTCTGAAGGGTTTCCTGTAACCTATGGGGTTGCTGTGAGTCAGAAGCGATTCAGTGGCAGCAGGCTTGGAGTGGAGTTTTTGGGTTTTTTTTGTTTTTGTTTTTGATTTTGTTGTTGTTTTGGTTCACAGGTACAGCAAAGGTGGGGAACGGCTGGCAGTATATGTAACCCAGGCACTTGTTAGTCAAGTGTTCAGTAGATAGTAATTCTTGTTATTCCTAGAACAACCCAACTCTCCTGGGCAAAAGACAGGTGTTTATAATGTATTCCTTACTTTCAACTTAATTTTCAGATGCTAGAGGGAAAAATACAATAAGACAGAGATGCAGCAGAATGCTGTGAGAAAGCATATCCTTTCCTACAGAGAAAAATTTTAAAAGGTCCTCTTAAATTATTAGCAGCTTAGGGTGCTTCTTCATAAGTTTCTTCACCTAAAAGCTTTTTTTAAATTTGGTGATGACTCCAATTTTTACAACTAAGTAAACAATCAAAAAGGTTCTCTCTTTATGATAGGAAACGCAGTCAAGAGAATCAACAGAAAGGTTTGACAGATTTATCTGAACATAACAACTACTTGTAACCCTCAGTCCAAAAATTACCTGCTGACCCAAGTATTTCAGGCCATCCAAACAGACTTTCCATTCAATCAACAGCTGGTAGACATCCTCTTTTCCACCCCATATCTTCACCACAAAACAAGACACAGATGTATCTAGATGGTCCGGCATTATTCCAAAATCAAGACTCCGCCATGTTGGATTCTGTTGATGGAGATGAAAACATAATTTAGAAAGACTCTACCTTGTGTACAGTTATTTCAATTAGGCCGTAAATCACTTGTGCATAAAAGCCATACTTTAAATTATATATACATATATTAAATTGTAAACTTAAGTGAACCAAGAAGATATTCCAATTAACAAAAAGGGCAGAACAATGGTACTTTTGAATTTCTCTGCTTATTTACCAGTCATTAAAAAGACTATATATTCCAACTGATATGGTTTCATATGGTAAACCATTTACAGTCAACACATACTACATGATTACAGCCAACACACAGATAACTGCCCTCAAAGAGCCTCCCACTTATTACTGGATTCAAAACTCTATTTAAATAATTACACTGTTTCATGAAAAGTTAAATAACAAAATCATGCAAAAGGTGACAGAGGACCACAATAATGGGGGAGATATCACAGAGGCTGGGACAAGTAGAATTTCATCACATTAAAATAAGGAATTCTAGCCAAAGGACTCTACATACAAAGCTGGAGAGAGATACAAAGGACTAAACTGAAGAATCTTATATGCCTTTGCCAAGGAGCCAGTACTTCACTCTGTACGAGATATGGGGCTATTGAAGGATTTTTAAGTTAAGAATGACAGGGGTCAGTCTTATGCTTTGAAGGAACATTATTTTTCATTAAGTGAATTATCTAGATAGTTAAAACACTCTCCAAAAAGTAAAGATGTTATGGGGCTTTAATAACATCAACAAAAATGAACTACAGTGACTCACTTAGTTACTTTTACTTATATCCCCTACATGAAAGTTAGTGCTTTCATTGCTAAATATAAACAGATAATCAATCTTATTAAGATCGATCTTATAATTAAAATCTTACAATTTCCTTATTATACAAATCAGCAAATCAAAGGTAACTTGATGGTTGCGTGTCAACTTGGCTGGGCCATGATTCTCAGGGGGTTTAGCAATTATGATGTAGTTTGTTAGTTATGTAATGGCATAATCATCCTATGTGATGTAATCACCTCCATGATGACTATTTAAATGACTATTTAAAGGAAAAATTATAACTGTATAGAAGAGCTTATGACACATATACCCACTGCCATTGAAAAGTACCCGGTACGTGCTCAGTAAGCATTTGCTAAATGAGTGAATAAATGTTCATAATGAGATCTGCTATGAGCAACCAATCAGTTGAAAGGGAACTTCCTCAGGGGAGTGGCTTGCATCCAATATATGTATGAACAGTCTGGCAAAGCTCTCTGGCTTTTTGCTCCATCTGGATCCTGCATCTGGCTGGTCATCATCTGACCTCCAATTCTTGGGACTTTAGCTAGCAGCTCACCATATTCCCTGCTGATCTTCGGATCAGTTAGCCTCCATAGCCTCCGAAGCCAGAAGCCTCTTGTCTGACTTGCTGAATTTGGGTTCACCACCCCCTGCAGCTATGTGAGTCAGAAGAAGCATCCAGCCTGAAGTCTGACCCGAGGACTTGGGACTTGTCAGCATCTACAACCAGGAGCCATCTCCTTGAGATAAAATCTCTATACATACATATACAAGCTTCACCAGGTTTGCTTTTCTAGAGAACCCAGCCTAAGACTGTAACTATTCTTCACTTTTGGCAACTCTTTTCCTGACCACAGGTGAACAGGATAGTGTTTGCTTTAATTTTAGGGGACACTGAAGCTTGCTATATATATGTGTCTTGTGGATTTGGTTGTTGAAGTTTTGGGAGAGGAGACACAGGTGACTTTCAGTTTCATAGCACTCAGCACTGATTCATCTTTTTCATTTTCATGTTGATTTTTTATTGTCTGATTTCATTCTACTAAGATAAAAGATCTGATAGAGCAAGAACACTGCTTGAATTATTCACTACTAGGTTCCCAAAGCTTGAAAAGTACCTGGTATGTGCTCAGTAAGCATTTGCTAAATGAGTGAATAAATGTTCAATTACCTGACCCGGATGTTTAAGGACACTGGAAGATCAATAAATAGCTCAATGATAACAGTAAGCACATTTATGCAATCAGTTTTATACTGGCTCCTAAAAAATTAAGTTCCAGCTATCTAAGACTTTCAATCTAAGACAAATAGAACTCCATTTTATGTGACCCAAAGTCTCTTATCTCACCAACATTGTTTTAGTGGCCCTACTATACAGTAATATATAGTATACACTGTGGTTGAGTCAGATCCGACTCATAGTGACCCCTCCTAGGGTTTCCAAGGCAGTATCACTACAGAAGTAGATTGCCCAACCTTCCTTCTGAGGAGTGGCTGGTGGGATTGAACCGACAGCCTTCTGGTTAGCAGTCAAATGCCTTAGGCACTACATCACCAGAGCTCCTTACTATATAGTAGCAAAGTTTAATTTAAATATAAAGATGACCAATAAGGTCTAGGAATAATCATACAGATTTGCACTACAAGAAAGTTCTTCAGGTGGAAAGGAAATGATACCAGATAGAAACTTAGATCTAGAAGCAGGAATTACGAGCCCTGGCAATGGTAAGTATATAAGATAAAATACTACTTTTTCCTTCTTATATTTTCTTTAGATGACATATGACTATTTAAAGCAAAAACTGTAACTGTATAGAAGAGCTTATGACAAAAATACCCACTGCCATTGAACCGATTCCAACTCATAGTGGGTTTTTTTTGGACAGAATAGAACTGCCCCCATGGGGTTTTCAAGGCTATACATCTTTACAGAAGCAGACTGCCTTATCTTTCTCCCGTGGAGCAACTAGTGGGTTCAAACAGCCAACCTTCTGGTTAGCAGCCAAATGCTTTAACCACTACTTCAACAGTTTCTAATTTTGGAAAGTTCACTTCCAGCTAATTATAAACTAAACAAAATCAAACTCACTGCCATCGAGTCAATTCCAACTCACAGCAACCCCCATTGGACTTCCAAGGCTGTAAATTTCACTCATAGAAAGTGACAAAGCACACTGCCTCATCTTTCTTCCCTGGAGCAGCTGAAGGGTTCGAACCACCAAACTTTTTGATTAACAGCCAAATGCCTTAACAACTATACCAACAGAGCTTCTTACCTGACTATAGAGAGGGCCTAAAATCATTATTACCAGAACCATTTCCCTATCTTACAGCTCAGTACAAAAATATAGTCCAATGGTCCTATGAGTTTATGGGTATGATCTGAATTCCCAGATGTATAGTAGGGCTGACAAGGGGCAAGGTTGTAGTCACTGCTTGGTCACAGCCAGCTACCCAGAGGGACCGAGTAGTTGAACCTGTGGGCTCGAGACCATAGTCGCAGGGGACATCAAGCTCAATCAGCATAACATACTACACAAAACATTGTTCTACCTCTTACTTTGGCCGAGTAGCGAATGGGATCTTAAAAGCTTGCAAGTTGCTATCTAGATGCAACGATGAGTCTCTCCTCGTCCAGAGCAAAGATGAATGAAGAAAACCAAAAATTCATGGAACAATTAGTCCTAGCAACTGGTACACCATCTGATCTGCAGCCTATATGACTATGAGACCAGAAGAACTAGACGGTGCCCGGCTACTACTGTCAATCACTTGGAAGGGGATCTAGGTAGGAGATCCTGGATAGAGAGGGAGAACAATGTGGAACAAAACTCAAAATCATTTGGAAAAAAAAAAGGGGGGAGACCAGGTTTGCTGGTCCCATAGAGCCTGGTAGAACCATTGAGATGATAGCCCCTAGCTCCCCTTCAGGTCTGTAATTGTACCCCATGCCTGTGACTTCCAGCCAAACAATAGACAGGCATATGAGTTGAATAAGGAACTCTGGTAGCATAGTGCCTAAGGCACTTGATTGCTAACCAGAAGGCTGGCAGTTCAAACCCACCAGCCACTCCTCGGAAGGTAGATGGGGCATTCTACTTCCGTAGTGATATTGCCTCGGAAACCCAAGGAGGGGTTGCTATGAGTCGGGTCCGACTTGACGACACATAACAACAACATGAGTTGAACATTTCCCTGAGGTAGATATACTCCTTGCAGAGAACAATCATGGGAGAAAGAAGGGCTGCTTATACACAGGGAGACAGCTCAGGGGGCAGGAGTGCATGGAGGGATGAACACAGGGAAGAGGTAACTATTGGGAGGAAGTATGAGAGGAGATGTTGCATTGTGGTAAATTGTGGTCAATGTCATGAGATAAAGTGCATGTGAACTGCTGTATGGAAAGTGAATTTGCTCTGTAATTTTTCACCCAAATCACAATAAAAAAAATCCATGAAATATGCTAAATATATATATATATATATATATATATATATATATATATATATATATATAGTCAGAAGAATCACAACTAAGAATTCATAAAAGCTGCTCTTTTTCAAAACATAAAAGATAATCTTTAGAAATTACATACTGACTTGTAAGGAGAAGTTATTCTTCAGCCCAATAAACTTTCTTTCCTTTGTCTTGCTCACCTATATTCATACTTCATTTCTCAAATTAGGAATTACTTATTATTAGAAACCCTTCCTGATCCCATCCCCTTGAAACTGAGATAAATATACTCCCGTATGCTTTCGTACAATGCTATCCTTCCCTGGTACCATAATTATATATAATTATCTCAGTCTCCCTCCAAATCATGTAGTTGACCGGATAGATGCTGGAAAACTCTGAAGATGATAAAGTTTAACATAAGATAACAATCTGGCATAAGCAAGAAAAGCCAACACCGTACCCACATACACACAATAGAGATTAAATGCTAATTCATTTGGTCACAAATCAACTGAAACATAAACTTGGCTTGACAGTCACAGAGGCCAGTAACTCACAGAAAGTATTTGTACTGCTTTTTCCCAAAGATTTAAAAAGAGTTCGAAAACACAACACCATCTAGTCAAATTGCAACTCATAGCGACCCTAAAGGACAGGGTAGAACTGCCTCTAGAGCTTCCTGAGCTGTAAATCTTTATGAAAGTAGACTGCCTCATCTTTCTCCTGCAGGGTGTCTGGTGAATTTGAACTGCTGACCTC